AAGTGACTAATGGGTGGGTAGCTTATACGTCATGGATATTATGGCTGCAGAGATGATTCATTCATGGGTAGGATGGAGTGGGTGGCATAAGATTTGATCACACTACCCAGAATGGTGTGCATTTTAAAGTTAAAGATTGTTTATTTCTGGTATTTTCCATGTAATGTTTTTGGGCCATTGTTGCCAGTGGGTAACTGAAACTGTAGAAAGTGAGACCCTGAATAAGGTGGGACTATTGTCCTTTGGCTTCTGTTATTGTCTAAGCAGATGGGACAGTCAGGATATTATATGATGTCGGTCTTTTCTCAACAATGTATCTAAAACCAAGAACTCCCATTAGCCTTTAATCAGTTTTTCTCTTCTCGGCTTTTCAGTTGGTTTTAATTCGGTCCTCTCACTTTTATAATAATGGTTTGCTTTTGTTTGGTTTTGACCAGCTTATTTTTCTTTTTTCTTCTTTTTGGACATAAGTATATATATTCATTCAGTCTTTTTGATATTGGGAATAATTCATTCACTTTTTGTTAGCTTTGTCATTTGGGTAGCAACAGAGTGCTTCTCAAGCCTAACTGTGGTCTAATAAAACTTTTCTCTATATTCCACTAACACCTGAAATGTGATACATGAAAAATGTGTACTCAGTCATTCTGTAATCATAAGTCCTTGTTTCTTCAGTTATCTTCTCTTAATATCTTCAATCCTTCATCCTGTAGCTGACTCCTCCCCAGCTAGCTTTATATTCTGTTCAGTATTAAATGCTGCTGCTAATTACATGGGAGTAGCCCTTGGGCCTTTCTTTTTCCTTTTATAGGCACCTCAGGCACATGCATCCCAGAACTAAATTACTATAATAGCCTTTTTGCTGTTTTTTTTCCCCACACCTTAGTTTCTCTATTAGGCCTTGTATGCAGCTACTAGATTAATCCCCCTCAAGCACCTTTCTCATCAAGATCTACAGTTTCAAATGTATACACCACACAAGTTAGTTCCTTCCCATCTTCACTTCTCTCTCCCTCTCTGTCAGTTCTCTAAATGGAGCCAAACTAATTTAGTAGTTGAAACTATTTAGTAGTTTCTTTGTTCTCAGCTTTTTTATCATGCACACTCAACTTCCCTCATGGTCTGCCTTTCCTTCTCTGCTGTTTGGAATCTGATTCCCAGCAATTACTGACAGCACTTGACTCTTCTTTTTAAAATTTATTTTTGCATCCTTGTAATATTTAAACATTTAGTTGGTCTAGTAATGCAGTCCATGATAACCTGCCCTTGTTGTTTGTCTTTGTTTTGGACATACTGCTTTTTATAAGCACTGTTCTATGTAGGAACTATTATTTATATTTAATTTATGGTGCTTTTCTCTTCCTACCTATGACAGTCTTGGGTATCTTCTAAATCTTCATGGCTTAGAGATGCATAAAAGTTTTGGGGAGTGTATAATGTTTAGCATCGTCATTGTTAAATTTTTAAAATGCAAAATAATGTCTTTATGTCAATTATGTTTTAAGATTTTATTTTTTGTTTTATGCCAAGTTTTAAAGACAGTGTTCTCAATACATTAAAATGATATTTGGAAACTACTACTACAAATATTAAATCTAGGTTATTGAGCATTTAGCCACCTGATATGTCAGATTGTCTCAAGAGAAGGATTAGCTTCCTGGATGCTGGCTAGTTATTTTTTGAAGGTGTATAATAGCCTACAGTCAGTACTCACCACCTAATATGTTAAGATCCTTGACAATTCAAAAGAGACTAGCACTAAGAATAAGGGATAGTGATTTGGTGGTTTCCCTCTTTTCCCAAAACTGTGCCTTTGTTGCTGACCCACTCTGAAGAAAGTTTTCTTCCTATGATTTCCAAGTCTTCCCAAGTACTGGAAGGGAAAGGAGCATCACTGGTACAGCCCTTGGGTGAGAAAGGACATTAGGCAGAAGACAGCTTCCAAGCCCAGTAGTAGCTCTTAGCTCCCTTCCTACCTTTTCTTATATGAGAGAAGAGAATTGGCTTAAAGATAGCTCTCAGTTCATAGCACTTTATCAGTGAAAGGTTTTTTTCCTTGTTCCTTTTGTTTCTAGCCCTTTATCCTCATTCCATATGCCCATTCTCTTCCTGGCTCATATGCACCCATTATAATGTCTTTACAGCTACATATTTACTTGAAAGAGATATAATTTAGTTATGTGTGTGTTTACCTTACATCATGATTGTAGAAGGCCAGCCTACAGGTTTATCCTTGACCCAGGAGGTGAACGAGGATTAAAGATAAAAGACACAAAGATAATTTGGAAGAGAAGGACCAGGGGACTCTCTGCCTGTAGTGGACAAAAGAGCTCCTCACTTTTATTAGATTCACACAAAGAAGAAGCAAGCAAGCATGTGATCCAGGGTTCAGAGAAAGTTTATCAGGTTCTCATAATTTACAGATTATACCCAAATGTGCATTTTCTTTAATTAGACTTTAGCTATAGTTGTTTCTCTCCCGGAAACTGGTTGACACTGGCATGCTATAGAACAGCCAGAAGGGCAGTTGGCTTGCTATCCCCTTTCCCAAATCTCAAGGAGAGCTCAACCCAGGCCTCGGTCTCACATCTGGTTTCCCACAGTGATGTTTGGCAATTTTAAAAGATGAATTTGTGTTACCATAGGTACATCTAAAGCATAGTTTCTAAAAGCTACATAGAATTCCATATTTGTATTACCTCCATTTTGATTTGCTGTTCTAATTATGGAAATCAAAGACTTCATGATCCCTGCTATAACATCATAGCAAGCAGTTCTCAAATGCCTATAGTGTGTAATTTGTATATCTATAAATCTTTTGAGAATTTCTCAGGGATTTATCTACCAAAGAGGGACCACTGGATCATAGAGCCTGTACATAATTAATGTTGCTAAGTTCAAACAAATGACTTAGCAGAATGTCTGTCAGTTTACATTCTTACCCATAGTGCATGAGAATTTTTGCTTCTTCATATCTTTGCCAACCTTTGCTATTATCCACCATTCTGATTTTGCCCTTCTTGTAAAATGCCTTCTTATAAGATGCCATCTCATTATTTGTTTTAGTTTCAATATAATCATCTTTTTATATATTGTTAGCCACTTAGGCTTCCCTTTCTGTAACTCTTCTACTGATATCTTTTGCCTATTTTTCTGTTGGGCTTCCTGTGATGCTCATGTTGAATTGGAGACTCTCCATGTACATTATAGATATTTCATCCCTTGTCAGTTTTAAATGTTGTGAAATCTTTTCTTTGCTTTCATTCCTCTTAATTCATGGTATTCTTTATTGAACAGTGATCCCTAATGTTGATGAAGTCAAATCCAATCGCTTTTTATTTATGATTTGTATTTTCAGGGTCTTATCTACAGTCTCTGCTGTCTAGTACTTTTTGCTCTGTAGTGTTATCTCCCAGTGGTTTTTCATACACACTTGTTTACATATCCTTTTGAAGATATGTCTTTCTTTTCTTAGCTGTGGCTCTCAGGAGGCTATGGTGTTAACTTTTGGCTGTTCTTGATGGAGGGAAAAAAATGTAAGAAATCTAAGTGTTGTTTTTCTACTAACAAGATTGAGCACCTTTGACCCTGTTTATACTTCATGAATTGAGACTGCTCAGTTACAGCTAATTGGAAAAGGGCACTTATCTAGCCAAGCTGTGTACTCAGTCTTCCTCTAAGAAATTTAAATTAGGACCAGTCTTAGCTGGCTTCTTCAAGGACATGCAAGTTGAGATGTTTTGGGGTGACCACCTTCCACTATGTGCACAAAGAAGCTAGAGAAATAGTCCAAAGAAAAAGGAGTTTGAAGATATGCACAGAGAAGCAAAGAAAAGTCCCATAGAGATGGAGAGAGTTTGAGCTAGAATGTGAAAGTAGCTGTCCTGGATCCTGATGGATTTCCAGTTTCTGGTCCTGCTCTCTCCCAGGCCACATTATGTTCCTTATCTGTATTATATAGGGGTGGCTAACTGCTATAACAGATGGACTCCAAAGCAGGTAATAGTTCTAGCCCAACAGAATTTTATTTCTTACTCATACAAGCAGGTTCAGATGGCTATAAGCAGCCATCCCAAGTTCCTAGGGCAGAGAAGCTGAGCCGGTCCCAGCACCCAGAAGGAAGCTCCCCCACCGCCATCCCAGGCTCCTAGGGCAGAGAAGGTGAGCCGCACGGGTGCCAGAAGCACTCCCCCACCCCATCTGCCATGGAAATGAGAAGATACATAAATAAGCCTCAAAAACAGACTTCTGGATCACCTATATCAACCCCAAAGGGAAATGAGATGAAACAATCTGATACTCAACCACCTAGACTCTCTGAACTGGCAACAAAAGAGGATCTGGGAAAAATGAAATCAGAAATAATTACTCAGATAACAGCAAAGATTTTGCTCATGGTGCAAGACATGATTAATAAATCTAGAGAGGACACAGATAAAAAAATAGAGGATCTGAGGAACATGATGGAATCCCAACATAGGAAACAAATGGAATCCAGATGGCTATAAGCAAGGTGGTAGCAGTGGAGGGCCCTTTGCCACATGGTTATTCAGGAACCCATGTTGATGGAGGCTCTGCCATTTTCATCATATGATTTCCAAGGTCTCCCTGGGTGAGACCATCTATCCTGCAAAGAGAAATGATATGAAGTTGGATACATGGGGGAGCTTTATAGGCAAGGCCTTAAACTACTACAATCACTCACATTCCTTTGGCCAGAACCCAGTCACAAGGTCATATATAGCTCTGTGGGAGGCTGAAATATATGGTTTCACTATGGCCCCAAAAGGAAGAGAAAATGAATTTACTGAGCAGCTAGATAGTACCCAAGGTATTTAGTATCTGTGTAATACATCCATATCCTTTTAGTCTAGTTCCTATTTTTTCTTAAACTTGTATCATTTGGTTTGTATTATTTATGCCTTGATGCATGAGGTGTTTCATAGTAGCCATACTTAAAATATTGGAAGAGAAAAAACCAAATTCATTTATTTTCTCAGGAAAATTGGGCCGATTACCCCCTATAATGCATCATCAACCAGCTCCCTCAGATGGCCAGACTCCTGGGGGTCGTTTCCAGAGGTCTCACCTCGCAGAGGCATTTGCAAAAGCTAAAGGATCAGGTGGAGGCGCTGGAGGAGGTAGTGGAAGAGGCCTGATGGGGCAAATTATTCCAATCTATGGTTTTGGGATTTTTCTATATATATTATACATTCTATTTAAGGTAAGTGGTATCATCTTACTTATGTCATATCAGTGAAAATTTAGTATCATTGTAATAAAAATCATTGTCTACATTAAAGCCATCAGTGTTCAAAAACTCCTTTAAATCTGTCATCATTTTAAACTTTGCTTCCTGCTTTGTGAGGTACTTAGAATATTCTTTTACTTTTTCAGATGTGAAATCTTGGCTCAGAGTTTAAGTAAGTTGCTTCACAATTTACAACTAAAAAGGCAGAATCAGGACTTGAACCTGGATCTTCTAATTTCGAATTCATTGAGCATTATAATTCAAAGCAAAAAAATAGTGAGCATCTTTGCAAGCTGAAAAGACAAAAATATATTCTTAGAAGAGCATTAGGATTGGCACAGTAATTTCCAAGTAGTCACTGTGAGACCAAATAGTGATAATACCAAAACCATTTTGTCTCTTTTCCTCACAGAAATGTGAGATGCTATTTTTTAATATCCTTGCCAGTAATATCCCTGGACTTTTAATTCCTAATCAATGAATAATGTAATTCATATCCAAAAGGGGAAAAAAAGACTGTTTTTGCAAGCTAAAGAGGCATAAAGATGTTCTGGTTCTGGGGAGATAGGGTGTGGCTCTTTTAAAAGCAGACCCCCAGGGCTGAGTATTTAGCTCAGTGGTTTCACTGCCTGCTGCGCAAACACAAGGAGCTGAGTTTGATCCCCAGTACCAAAAATAAAAAAGCAGACCCCCAATTAAGTCCTATCTCCACACAGGATCTTGTAGGCTATTGGCCTGGGAACTATAAAATAGAGGCAGTCTTCACTTTGTGCTCCTAACTAGAGTAAGGTTACTTTTTTTTTTTTTTGGAGTTCCTTCTTGACTAGGAATTCTGCAGGCAGCCTCGTTTGAGTTAGCAAGAATTGCCCTCAATAGTTGTACCTCCCTTTGTAGATGAGCAAGGTGGGTGATCTCTAGGAATTTTTTTCCTTGCATTTTGGTAATTTTTATTTGGCTACCTTCTTGAATCTTTCACTACCTTTTTTTTTTCAGATGTTTCTCTAATGTTGCTATTTGATTTCTAACTTAATTTTGTCTTCCAACCTTTTTTTTTTGTTTCATTTAATATGAGGGGTTCCATGACTTTGAGGTTTTGAGCTGCTGTTGATGTGCTGTACCTCCTTCAATTCTCAGCTCTCAAAGGGGAAAACTGCAGAGGATCTGAAATGCTCTACTGCCACACCTGGAAACACCCACAGGAAAATTAGTAAGTGCCCCTTCTTGGTAGATTCACAAATGTTATTGAGTTAGACAGCTATAATACAACCTGAGGAACAATTTGTGGGTATGTCTTAAAAGCATTTCTCCAAAGTTGCTCTAAATTAATCTGATACTCTTTTTACTTTAGCTCTGGGAATTCTCAGAAGTTTCTGTATTGGCCTTGGGCTTTTGAGGGAAGGATGCTACAAAAAATACAAAACTACCCGTTCCATTTTTATACACATTGGCAAATTAATATTTCACATTTGGAATAGGTAATTTCTCATTTCCAGACTTCAAAATATCAGTAGCAGCTATCTTTATTTCATAGAGAGGAAAACTGAGGCAGAGAAGTCCTATCTTTGTAAAAATCAGTTATTATTTGTAGGGAAAGAGTTTAACATCTTGAACTTTTGAAACTTGATCATCAAATATTTATTGCCCAACTAGAATATACAGTACCCTCCCTCTGGGGAAATGAAATGTATATAGTATAGCTTTTTTTCCTCTTAGAATTTAAGGACTAGAATGAATGTCAGGAAAAATAACCTGTGAAAAGTTTACTACCTAGTAAGAAGGGATTTGTCAAAAGCATTATGAGAAATCATGTCTGTCTGAGTAGAATAAAGGAGAGCCTGTCAGAAGGCATAAGATGCAGACAAGTATGAAGTCCAGAATTTGTGGAGGTGGAGGGTGCTCACATGTGACAGCTGTGGAAAAGAAGTCTTGAAGAGTAGGTTAAGGTCAGATTGCTGCCTTATTATGGATAATTATGCTTCATCAGAGGTTTTTAAAACAAAGTCATCAGCAAAATGAAGTGAGACTGAGCCATAGAAGCACCTGCCCTCAGCCATAACTGCTTTTGAATTTACTCTTGATTCTCTATGGCATTAGATATCTCAGTCACATTCTGCATCCTTTTTAGAAAGCTTAGTCAAAGAGCTCTTGAAGAAGGCTGCTATGTTCTTAAATGAGATATTGATGGTAAGTACATCAGTAATTTGAAAAAATTTGTGGACTCTCTAAAGAATAGCAAATTCTGTATCTTATCATAATGCATTTGTGGCAGAAAGAAGTAAATCAAATGAATTCCTAAGAGCAGCTATTTTGTAATAATGATAATAACATTGATAGCAGGTTTTTATTCTTTAATATTTAATCATGTAGAAAATAAAAATAACCTAAGCACTAACTCTAGACACTTTACAGATGTTAGCTGCATGCATGAGACTTTTTCTAGAAGCATTGAACAGCCTTTGAAATATTATATTTTATAATGATCCTCTCAATGTATTTGGGTAGAAAAATACTCAGGTATGAAATAGAAAAACTAGATCATGTACATAATAAATAGCATTTTATTTTCCTACTGCCTTAAAGTTCATTTCACATACTGATTGAGTGATTTCTTTTTTTTATTCTATGTTTAGGGTCCTACTGTTAGTGTCAGTAGATTCGTGTGCTCCCTACCAACCCTGGCTGAGAAAAACTGCATTTGGGAGACAGGGTTACACCTTAACATTGCCTACTCTTTATCCCTCTATCCAGAGTAAAAACTTTGGGTACAGAGGTCTCAGTCTTAGTTCAAGACTTTCTCCATTTAAGAAGTGCAACATTTATTAACTTCCTGATACGTTCTCAGACTTTAGGTAAAAATAGTCCTCATTTTAGGGTCTTAACTCCTTTTCTAAAGTACTATATTTTGTAGGTTTGGTACTTTACCCTCAGGTGTTGTTTGGATCACAAAGAGTATGTTGTTTCCTGCATTTCCTCTTGGGTGACCATGTAGGCATGTTTTTCACTCCTGGGTATTTTCTTCAGTTTGTCCTGCTGTCTTTCTGTGTGTAAGATGCAATGATTTATTTGTTGCTCACTAGCTATGTATCCTGTAGATCTTGGTGCCTAGACATCTGAGCCCTTTTTGACCTGAGAGACCTTTGGTATCTTAAGTCTCAGAACCAGCCTAGATCATCATAGAATGTCACAACTGGCTGTATTTCATGAAAGGGCTTAGGGAATTGTGTGAAGTAGTTCTTAGATTGATAACTTGTTTTTCAGCCAATTTTGAACTTGCTCAACTGCAAGAAAAACTAAAAGAGACAGAGGAAGCCATGGAAAAATTAATCAACAGAGTGGGACCGAATGGTGAGAGGTAGGTTTTCATCTAATAGGACTCAAATATTATTTCCTATTTAAAGAATCAGTTCAAATTTTGCTCTTCTTTGATATGTAAAATACTTTTTTAATCATGTATAATTTTCAACTTATTTTCCATTTACATATTCTTTCTCAGTATTTTCATTTTCATACTATCAAGCAGCCTGCTTTCAAGAGTTTAATGTGGTACCAGTTATTCCGAGAGTGAGTAAATTTGTGAGTAAATTCTGAAATGTGAAATAACCCAGTTTTTAGGAGGAACATTTTCTAGCTGTCTGAAAAAAATGTGTAATTTTAGGGAAGACCAGATCATTGAATATTTGGGACCACATGAGAGAAGAAAACAAGTATGAACTTATTAGGTACTTATGTTTTATATTAACTGCCTGCTAGCACGGAATTAGACATGTAAAGTTAGTGTCAAGAGCTGACGTAGCCTTTTTGGATGCGCCATGTGGAAGCCACACCTCTCTTACTATCATCCTGGCCCAAGGATCTAAAAAGGTGGTTGCAGGAGGTTGATGGAAGTGGCAACTAAGAAACCATGGATATAGGGAGGAAAATCCAAATAAGAGATGGGCGAGAAGGACGGATTCATTTTCACATAGGCCTTCTGACAAGGGCAGAGGAAGAATTTGGGGGTGAGTAGCAAAATCTCACACGTGAAGGTGTATTGAAAGGTCCTCCTGCCACTTCATTGGCGCACCGTGGAACTTCTGCCAAAGGAAGCTGCTTTTTCACCTTGGCCTCTTCTGTTCGTTATCCTTGATGCTACTGGTGCTCCACACCCCTCTGCTACTCACTGGTCCCAGCTTGTTTGCCCGTCTGTGGCTGGGTAGAAGATAAGTGGGCATCCTCAGATTGCAACCTCCTGGCTGACATTTCCCTGTAGTGTCCCTGTGCTGTTGAAATGATATTTATGAGGATGAGCTTTGGCTATCTAGGCCGAGGAGCCTTGGCCTTGTGTTCCAGAAAGCAGGGTTACTAACTGTAATGTTCCCTAAGGTAGTGTATGTACGTGATACATGAATATGTCTGTGTGATTGCATGATAATAGTTGATATTTGAGTACTTGTTAAGGGTTATGCTCTTAGCTGACATAGCTAGCTAGATATGATCTGTGAGCGACTAATTATACTTCATTTATGTTTATACTTTTTTGGCCTTTTCTGTGCTTAACATGTACCTGCCACTCACAGTCTTGGTGGAGAGCTACCTAGCTTTTGTAGACCCTCATGCCTCAAAAAAATACCTACACCCTGACCTGAGCCATTGGAAGTCCCAGGCCACACCTAAGGGTTTTGAAAACTGTAGATGAATATGTGTAGGTCCCTCATTTAAGAAACCCAACCCCTGGGTTTTGGGGTGAAAACCACATGAAAATATTTTCTTATCATTACTCATTGTTACTCAGATTCCCTTAGCTCAGATCAAGTGATTTACCCAACCTATGCATGCCATCTGTTACCCAAGCAAGAAATGCAGTACTGTAACCCTACTATCTGTCCTCTTTGTGCCAGGATTACTTCTCTGTGTTTCATGTGCAGAGATAGAAGAGCTAATCCTGCTCTACAGCTGGGGTGATTATACTGTCTTATTGTTCCTGGGGCTATAGATCCTAACCCAGTGTTTTACTCCTTATAAGATGCTGAGCTAGGTGTGATGGCACACATTTATAATCCTAGCTGTTCAGGCAGCTGAGGCAGGAGGATTACCAGTTTGAGACCAGCCTGGACAACTTAGTGTCTCAGAGAGACACTGTCTCAAAAAAAAATTTTTAAGTGGATATCAATGCAAAAGCCCTGGGTTCAAATTCCAAGTACTGCGGAATGAAGGAAGTATGAATAAAAATGGTCTAGGGATGTAGCTGGTGGTAGAGAGCTTGCTAGCATCTGTGAGGCCCTGGGGTCCATCTCCCAGTACTATACCAACAAAAAAGATGCTGAGCAATAGAGTCCTTAGAACATACTGATTTGAGCCTGCAATGTGACAAAGATCCTATAAAACATTTTCCACAGTACTTCTTAGGAACTGAAAGATAGCTCTTCTCCATGAAAAAAACCATAGCTTCTGGCTCTTCCCAAGGCTCATTTTCCAGTTCATAAAATGTGACTTTGTCTTTGACACTCCTCAATCTAATATCTTTTATCCATACAGGTAGGCCCTATGGGACTTCACATACTCAAAACTGTAAGGGTTTAAGTAGCTCATGTTTCTATATTGCTTTCTTTTTTATACTTTAGAATTTAACCTCAGTTTCAGTTGCATTTATTCTTTCACAAGTCTGTGCTTCTATGATTATTAGAAAAGGCCCAAATTCCCCAGTATTTTTTTCTATCTGATAAAGAATTTTTTTTCACTTCCCCAGATTTCTGGGGATCAGGGAAAGGATTTGAGATAAGGAAGACATGTTCATATATAGCCTCTATGTCTTGTATATACTGTTCATTCCATAACTTCAAGATGTTGGCTTGGAATTAGAGAAATATGTAATTCCTAATATCTTACATATGTTTCTGTAAGAATAGAAATATGCGGAAGGCTTCTAATGTAGTCTAATAACACTTTTTAGACACTTTCACCTGTGAGTGATGTAAGTCTGTACACGTTTAGTGAAATCTCCTGGAAGGTCAGTATTGTACCTCGTTATGTCTGATATTAAGCTTAATATCCAGCTCCGGAGCACAGTCTAAGGAAAGGATCTCGGAGTGAGAAGTGAGGTGCCCTCGTTTCTGTGCTCATGATCATGAGAATTTCTTTCCTAGAGTAGCATGTCCAGTTGGGAGGATTTCCTCAAGGATGGCATGGAGCAAGAGAAACAATGAGGATGAGCCCTGGCAGGCAAGCCAAATATGTGTGTGGGGTTCGCTAGATTTCTGACATGGGTTGCTGGAATGTAAATTCTTTGAAGACAGACTTACTTTGTTTTGTTCAGTGTGTTCATGTAGTAGGTACTAAGTAAATATTTGTTGAATTCTAAGAATATTTTTGATGTATAAGGTATGATCAAAATATACAGTAAATGTTTAAATTTTTAAAAATTTACTACAGTATGAAGACAGATTGCCATTAATCCCCCTCAGAATATGCCTTCTCACTTTACACATACAAATTTCATCATTCTTGCCACTTTGTGAAGCAGTTCTAGAAGTCCTCTTTTGTGAGTATCTTGACACGGTGTGATAAAAAAATACAGTGAATGCTGCTTTTGCGTGCCATCCATTGGAAAAGCAGGTTCGTAAAAACATTACGGTGTGTTCTCATCCACCTTAGTCACTGAGTCTGGCACTGTGCGACTTCTGGCTCTTCCCCCAAAGTCAAAACGACCATGAAAGATAAACATTTTGAACTGATTGAAGACATTGAAGCAGCCATGACAGTGCCACTAAAGACACTTACAAAAGGAGACTTCCAGAACTGCTTCATAAAGTGGCAAGAACAACAGCATAAGTGTGTTTGAAGAATGGGGGAATATTTTGAGGGAAATTAATGGCAGTGTATCTTTTTCTGTAATAAAGTTTTAGAAATTTAAACATTCACTGTAGTTTTCAATCACATCCTCAAGTTGCATTTGTTATTTTCATGGTAGAAGAGTAAATCATGGCTATTCCCTGTTGAGATCCTTTTCTTTAGTTCCTAACCTCGTATTCAGAGCCCTTTTGGACATCTCTCATAGATATCTACCCTGGCCTCATCAAACAATAAGGGCTATTTGCACAGATAAATGTCCAGAATGGAATTTATTGTGCACCCTAAGCTGAAGCTGTTCTGCCTTTGATATCCCCATTTCAGCAGATTGTTCCATCGTCTGTTAGCTGCCAAAGCAGAAATTAGACATCATCCTCCATCCACCTTTTCCTTCACTTTCTGTATCTCACATGTCACCGTGTCTTGCCATTTCCACTAATTATATAAGTCAATCGGTGTGAAAGACTGTAAACTTTACAGAGGGCAGGGGTTAGTTCCAGAACCTAGCACAGACCCATAGTAGGCTCTTAAAAAAGTATTATTTGAAATGGAAGAAAGAATGAATGAGTGAATGGCTTTGTTTTTGGCATAGGTCAGAACTATCTCGTGTAGTTTCTTTTTCTCTAATTTTGCTTCCCTTCGTTTCTGCTTTCCACACAGATGGATTATGACTTTTGTTTTAATTCTTCAGTAGATATCCCCCCTTTACTTTCTTTTCTTTTTTCTTTTTTTTTTTTTGTAGTAGTGGGCATTAAACCCCAAGCAAGGACTCTACCATTAAGCTAGAGCCCCAGGCTTTTTTTTTTTTTTTAATTTCATTTTGAGACAGGGTCTCACTAAGTTTCTCAGGCTGGGCTCAAGCTTGTAATCCTCCTGCCTCAGCCTCAGACTCCTAAGTAGCTGGAATTACAGGTGTATGCCACAATACCTGGCCAGTAGATCCCTTTCAGTCTTGAAAAGTGCAGAATCTTTAACAGGGCCTACATAGTCCTGAGTGCCCTGGTCTTGCATTATTTTTCTTCTTTATATTCATTTTCCCTCTCCGTTTTCTCCTCTCTCTCTCTTTCTTTGCCTCTCTCTTTCTTTGCCCCCCCCCCCGTGGTCCAACTATACTGATCATTCGTGTATTCTTCTGAAATACCTATGCACTTGTGCTTCTAGGACTTTGCATATACTTTTTCCTTTGCCTTAGACATCATCCCCTACTCCCATCACACACATTTTGACCCTTGCTTGTCTGGTAGGTTTCAACATAGGCATTTTCTCCGAGAGCCCACAGAACTTGGCTAAGTGCACCTCCAGTGTGCTCCCCCACCACCTGGGCTTGCTGGGTATTACATGCATCATGTTACTTTCTCATCTCCTGTTAACTTTTCTGTTTTCCCCTAAAGCCCTGTAACCTTCTTAAGGGTATAGAACTTACACTGCTCAAATTTGCATTCCTTGTGCTGGCATACTGACAATGTCATTTTATCTAGAAGGAATGAATAAGGTAGAGCTAGGGAAAATGCAGGAGGAAGCTTCAGC